TTTTGTGTACGTCGAGCCGCTGGTCAAACCAACGACCAAGATAATTGTCTGGTGTGCCACCTTTTATTTCAAATACCGTGCTGCAAAAAGAATTATCTAAATACAGACGGGTTGTGAGCAATATTATAATTATACCGGATGTAAAAACCCTGCTTTGAGATAGGTCAAGTCGTTTAGAAGACAAGTGTACGATATTTTGGGAATACGTAATATTAAGCACGAGTAGCGTGAATACAGAATCTACCTGAGTACAGACAAAATAACAGAAAAGGCCATATCCGACGTAACTGCCGCCAGAACGTCACTCCTAAATTTACTGTAAATGACACAGGACAAACTACTGTAATGAAAATAGATACACCCGCTGTAGAAAATATTCCTACTGCATCACATAACGGCATTGATAAACAAAATATTATTCAACCTGGAAATGGAATAAACGATGACATATCTCTGTAGCATCGCCAATTAATAGCGCCCTCACATGCCAATGTTGTCACTATTACAGACTCCAGAAATGTGTTCTCTGAGCTCTGGCATTAAAGAAACAGTAAAAGTTATCACCAATATCCAACCGCTATACCGTTTTTTTTTTTTTACCGTTAGGAAAGATAATGTTACCATGGCAACGAAGCGTTTCCCATAAAATGTTAAAATAAAATAAATAAAATGCTATCCAAAAATTAAGTTATAGTACAGCAGAAATATAATTTGTTCCATGTATAACATAAATAATTATTACTCAGAAATAGTCAATATTTATTCCTTATTTAAGAAAAACAATTCATTATATAGATATATTCATAGTCTGGTATGTGTGTTTCAGCATTTTTTTGGTTCATGATGAAAGTCAACTAGATTCAAATGGCAGTGATTAAGAAATAGCAAGAATGCAGAGATACATGCAAACAGTCTTTTTTTATTTTTACTGGTAATGCCAACTGTATCATTAAGAATATGGGTAAATTATGAGTAGCAAATACATATTGTAATATTTTTAGATTTTCCAGGTTATAAACAAAGTAAAATGTCAGTGATATATACATTTTATTTTATATAGGTTTCATTCTGATTTTGTTTTAGATTCTACAGAGTGACTGGAGTGTGGTATCATTATTGTTGGTTATAGAAATGCATTACAGTATATATAGACAGGTAAGAGCAATATGGCACCTATAAATGTAACAGGTACCTCTAAATGACTAACTGGGTGGGTTTATGGTGGTCAGGTAAAACATTCACAGGTATAACAATTTTAAATTAGCTGTGAGTATTTTAATTTATCCTTTTACAGTTCTGGACCATGGGTGATTTCAGTCTTACCTGAGGGTAAAAACTGATTGGTGCAGTCTTCCTTTGACAAATAGGTTAGTCATCTACCTCCACTCTTTTGTAACTAAATGTAAATTGTCCACCTCAGAAGTAGTTGAATGAATTATGAAAATAGAAAAGCCTACTACTTTTGAGATGAATCATGCAGCCATTTTGACAAAGCTCTATAAGCTCAAACAAAATAACAAGAAAAAAATCTGGGAATGCCCAAAGGCAGTATAAAGAAAAAAACTTTTCATGTACCCGTCCAGACACCAAGTATTAATGTTGAGAAAGTTTGTAGTGGCTCTCCTGGTATATGTAATGAAAAGGGGCATGTTGTTGACCCCAGCGTAGTTAAATGTGTTTTGTTAAAACATCTTGATGAAAGACGAAGTAAGGTGAGAGGACTGCAGGAAGGGGAAAAACAACTGAAAAGAAAACTTGATAGATTAGTAATGAAAGTAAAAAAGATTAAGATGACGGTGAAGGAAATGAAACAACAGATCACCATTAATGCCAAGGAAAAAGATTCTGAGTGTGTACCCCCTCAAAATTCACAATGTGATAAAGAAAAATTGAATTCAAAAATCAATATTAAAAAATGTAAGTTGAAGCAAGCCGAAAAATTGCTAGATAATCAAAATCAGGCCTTGCTTAACGGAAAGAAAAAAACTACAGCAACAAATGACTGAGCTTCAACAAAAATTGATTATTTGATGGATGATAACACCACGTTACAGTTTTTTGACACAGATAAAATTGCTACAGACCAGAACTTAAATTCATACAACATTTCTATCGCCAATATCCCCTTGTGATCGAAATAGCTGGGAAGCATGCTGATAGACTACCCTGTCGGAAGACAGTTGACAACATAGTGGATGTATCTCTCGCAGACAGCCATTGGAACCAAATTACCACAGAAAGAAAACACAACCCTTTACTCAGATGAGACAAGCCTACTTGGTGACCGATGAAGATAAAACACCATACCGTATTGGGCTGTGAGATATGCAAAACAAAGCAGCAGCAACATTGCGAATCTTGGAGGAGATTCTGCAGGATTTATCTGAAGCTTTATCGCATATTTTCAGTAAAATCATTATTTGCACTGAATTACTGTAGTAATACTTACTTTGCACCTGCAAGGATGAAACAATTCGTGTTCTAAATAAAAATACCTCGAAAAACACTTTCCCTTGGTGTGCGCACATTTGGTCATCTGGTGTCTTTACCTTTTGAGCTCATTAGTGCAAAGCATCATGGGAAATGAAATATTTTAATGCGATCGGATTGGCCAATCAACAAATAATTGCATGTCACTAAGCTCAGGCTGTTAACCCCCTTTTGTGTACATAATTTGAATTTGAATAGTCTGGCGTAGCTAGTATTAGTACAGGTGATGTAATTATTTATGTTGAGCCGTTGGTGTATCTCTCTGCCTTTAATTAAAAATGATGTGCTCGAGCGTGAACTTGCGCTATATGGTAAAATCGTTTCGCTTATACGCCTGATTCCACTGGGCTGCAAAAGTGCGGAATTGAGACATGTCAAGTCTATTTGTCGGTCGTCAGGTGTACACGCTCTGCGATGAAAAATCAATCAACGGCGTTATAACCATCAGCCATGAACAACGTTACTATCATGTGTACCTGTCGACGGATGAGGTGACATGTCATGAATGTAAACAGAAGGGTCACATTCAAAGAAATTGTCCCGAAAATATCCTTGCACATAATATTGATAATGGCAATAATAACAACACTACTGACATGGAAATCTCTCTATCAACACCCACTTCTAATAGGTGTGGCGACAACAATGATGGAACAGATTATACTGTTAATATTGAAAGTGATAAAACTGACACAACTTCTAAACATTATAATAATACCAATGATATAATGAGATAACTACAAATAATGACACTGATGAAAACATTGATACAATTAAAACTGTCGATAATATTATTTATAATATACACAATGTTACTGATGATCAAAATACAAATAAAGTTCAATCTGAAAAAGCCGGCATTGACTCAATAAAATTCGATTACGGATACTGGCGTTAAAGAACATGCAGCTGTTGTCACGCGTATCATACCTGAATGTCAATTAGGTGGCACGCGTACTAATCATTGTGATGATGATGAACCTGGTACTGTTTCCAGTGATGGCTTTTCACGATTATCTGCTATAGAAATTGACGAGGTACGAACCCCTTATTCAATACCTCCTCCCTCTAGAGAGACACCATCTTTTACATCTACCTGATCCAGGTGAATTACACAGTTCCATAAGTGTTGATTTGTTTGATTTAAAGTCGATTGTGTCGTCCTATGACGGAGACGACAATGGGTCTTATATGTCGGAAATGAGTGTCGCTTCCTTGAAAGATGTCGGGATGTCTGAAAATGAAAACATTGTTATCTAAAGAATCATTGTCGGTTTTGCTAAAAGAGTCTTTTAACTCCAGGGAATTATTCGAGCAGGCGAGTGCTTTCTGTTCCGACCTCCGACTTTTACGGAGACTGTTAAGGACATCACTAAGAGTGCTGATTTCCCGAGCAAAGAAAAGATACGCATACAGCGAATTACAATGCGTATTTCTAAACATGTTAAACGCTCATTAAAATCAAGTGCTGAAGGTGATGGGAATTTAAGATCAAGCGGTTGAGTAAAAAATATTGCCATTGTTTCAGCTGATTGAATTGTATGTTAATTATGTATCAACACTTCATGGATATGCGTCACTGGCTTAGTTGTTTTTTATCTCTTCTAATTATGGCAAACATAGCTGGAATTACTTGGAATGTACATGGTTGCAGAGATTCTTTAAAACGATACCAGCTGTTAGAATAATTACTTTTAATATATTCAAATGATTTTTGTTTTCTTCAAGAAACGCACGTATGATGAGCCGAACTGGCGTGTTGTCTGGAGGGCGCCTGTATTTTTTCTCAGAGTCCACGAAATCGGCAGGCGTTGCTATACTTTTTAAGCCTAATACAAATATTAAAATTCTGAATGTCAATGAAGTAGTCCCGGGTCGTCTTTTGCATATTCACGTCGAAATCGACGGGTTCCCGCTGCACTTGATAAACGTATACGCCCCAACTGATGGGCCGGAACAGAGTTTTTTAAGGTGTTGAAACGTCATTTAAATAATATAAACAATGACCCAATCGTCGCTGGCGGCGATTTTAATTGCACAAAGGGTGTGAGTATTGACCGTGTGGACAGTCCTGAGCCACACCTGCCTTCTTCTAGGTTTCTTTCACAAATGTTGTTGCACTTTATGGTCGTCCAAGTGTTTCAAAAATGGCTAGATTAAATCGAGGACGCTATTTTTATTTCGTGCACGATAAAACTCATTTGGGTATGCTGAATTTGTATTCGACAACGCTAAATTTTCATTGGTGCACGCTAAATTTTCATTGGTATGAGTTAAAATTATCGAACATGCTAAGTTCCATTGGTAACGTTAATAATATGGCTCCAGCTAAACTTGGATTCGATAGTGCTGAAAAAATCGAGAGCGCTAACAAAAATTCGATAGCGATAGAAATTTTCTAGGGAGCTAATTATTGCACATAAAGTTAAGGTGTCTCAATCTTTAACCCGGAAATAATATTTGTAAATCTAATCATTGTGCTGCCACAAGTGGCGCTGCTCGTCTTGTTGGGCCATTGTTTGCAGCGCGCGTTTCTGAATGGAGCCGATTTTGAAAGAACTTGGGATGGGATCTCTCCTATCCCATTTTATTAAGGAAGAGGTAAGGGAATGTCGATTTTTTTACTAGTTACTAGTTATACTTTACGTATCAGGCGTAATTTCGTTTTGGTCACGAGCGAAAGAACTGCGTACAGAAGAACTGTCCGGACATCGGGACAAGATGTACGTTGTTTCTGTTACAGTCACTTGTTACCTATAACATGGAGCTAGAAAGCTCCATGCCTATAACAAGTCTTTTATTAACAATCGGAGGTCCGTACCGCCCCTACTACGCATAAAAATAGACTATAGTCCGATTGTTAATAAAAGACTTGTTATAGGAAACAAGTGACTGTGCTTTCTGTGTTTTTGAAGCAGACGTGTATAATCCCAATTTTAGTCACGGCGATTCCGATGAGAGTAGAATTATAATCAAAATGTTATTATTTTTACCAGATTTTAACTCATCAAAAACAAATAATTTCTTTAATTTAAAAGTATTAACGACTGACATGGGCACGGTTTTTCTGTAGATTTAGACTGTTGTTTTTAATTTACATTATCAAACAAGGGGTGTCAACAGTCAATGTCATAAAGCTGGCGATGTTATAAATGCCTCATTAATATACATTTTTATGAATCTGAATGAATGGTAGCAATCATATTCAAAATCAAAATGAGGTGCAGTTAACTCGCTCATTGTAATTGATGAGTGGTTTGATTTTCCATGGTGATTTAACCCCTTCCCTCCAAATAAACTGTTTGTTGAGTAATCATGACTTTTGGGGTATTTCAATACCAGTATTTCAATAAACAATATTATTGTTCAACTATATTTATTTACCTCACACAGATACATAAATACAACAAGTCATTGTCAATGGCATAGTTCCTGTCATGTTTTAAGTGACTTTGTCAAACAATGCAAGCATAGTCAGATTATGTTTAAATATTGGGATAGTATTTAGCATATTAAAACAATGCTTGATCAATAATCAACGTGCACACTGTGGTGCCATCAAACGTGCCTAAAATACAGTTGATGACATGTTCAAATTTTGCAATTTTATCCACTGACAAGGCTGGAATGGTTGATTTTAACCAGTAACACATGCAAAAACATGTAAATGCTTCTTGCATTTCTCAAAAGTTTGCCAACTTTCTTTCAGAAGGAAGATTTCAGGACTTGCACCCATTTGAAGGGAGTCAAAAATTCATCATAAAAATTTTAGATACGAAATAAGTATAGATATGAAATAAAGTCACAAACATCATTCAGTCATGCTCTACTTTAATTTTCAGCTAGTTCACAAAGCTAGAAATAAAGAGTACTACTTAGGATGCTGAGATGTTTGATGCAGTTATATTGCAATACAGTACGTTTAATACAAAATTTTATTTACAGATAACCCCAGAAATGGTGTCTTCATTGACAGCCGACGACTGGTTAAAGATGGGGGTTACCATCGGAAAAAGATTAAAAATTATTGAGAGGTGTAGAGCTTTTGTAGGTGGGTGATCTTCATTCTTGTCAATCAACTGTGCAAGGCAATGGACTGTTTACCTTGAAACTGGTCTGAATTATGTATTCTTCTCTGACAACTTTGATAATTTTTCTCTAGAAAATGAAGAAAAAGGAGAAATTGAAAGAGAAGTTTCAAATATATTTAGAAGACGAGAGTCTGTGTCATGCCGTGCAACAGAAGCAGGTTTGATGGCCAATAAAGCCATTGATAAATTAAAGTGTAGTTTTGAAAGTGGTGTAAAAAGAAAGAAAGGCTTCCGTAAAGGCAGAGACAAAATCATCTCAGCCCCCAAAAAGTTTGCACCTGTGAAAGAAGAGCAGAAGCGTCTTATTGCATTAGCATGTCCAGTAGACACAGATGATGATGATGACTATGATAGAAAAGTGACCGAAGACAAAATATTATTTGATGGAATGATGGTGTTTAAACATGATTTTAGTGAATCTGAAATCAGGGAGGAAATAGTTGAGCAACTGAGATTGAAATGTAATTCATTTACAGATTTTTCTTGTGTTGTTTCCTCTGATTTTTCCTTCACACGTGTAATTAACCGCAAAATACGTACTATTGATGGACACCCAAAGCTAGATGGTAAAGGTATCACCAAAGTATATCCCACTGGCAGTGTGTATGTGCAACTAAAGAAGGATTTCAGGGTTTTCAGTGTAAGGAAATATACCAGTAGTTTTTATAATATATCTCTGTATAGATTAATTTCATGCAGTGTAGATTGTTATGTACCAATTATAATAACAGATACAATGTCATAATGACAATTTGTATTGCCACTGATTTTTTTTCTGTGCATGTGTTTTTTCAGATAAACAGTGATGAGGAAGAACAACCTGATGGGAACAAAAAGATGAATGACGAGCAGATAAATGAGATAGTGGTTAGTGTGTTATATTGGTTTGACATAGTTAATTAATATGTATGCTATTATAAGTTAATAGCATCTAAGATGTAAGAATTCTAAAGTCACTAATTACTTTTGTTCATGTTTATTGGATTTCATCATACATGTTTATGTTTGTACCGGTAGAAGCCACATAGTCAGTCTGAAACATCTACTATCGACCCATCTACATCTACTGATACTTCTGGTACATCTGTTATCCCTTGTGCTTCTGGCATCCCTGGTCCATCTGTCATTCCTGGTCCATCTGCTCTACCTGGTACATCCGCTTTACTTAGTACATCTGCT